GCTTGATGACATAAACTGAATCAACACTCACTCCAATAACTTCACAATTGATTTCTTTCAATTGTCCTGCAACTTCACTATATCCAATCATTTCTGTTGGACAAACAAATGTCCAATCCAATGGATAAAATAATAACACAACATATTTCCCTTTATATTCATTAATATCAATTTCTTTGATTGAACCACATGGACAATATGCTTGTGCTTTAAATTCTGGTGCTTCTTTTCCAATTTGTGCTTTTTCAAATGTGTTCATAAATTTCTTAAATGCTTTAATTCTTGGACAACAACATTCTTTCTTACAATACTCTTTACAACATTCTTTCTCTTGACATTCTTTCTTACAACATTCTTTTTGTTGATTACAGGACATTTAACTGTTTGAAATGATGAGATTGTGATGATGAGATGTTTAAATAACAAATGAACTACCAAAACCATCTTTAGATAATTAAAATAAGAATGTCATCATCACATGTGCATTCTTATCATTCTGTGATTTATTCATCTCTCTTTCTTCTTATAATGAACGAACTGGTAAATAGAAAACAAAAATGACAAGATAAAAAAGAAATCGGAGATACACAAAATCACTCATTCGAAATGGTTCTATTGAAGAATATGATGAAGAGAAGGATGAGTGTATTGGTACAAAACATCAATAAGAAACAAAGAAAAAGATGTAAAAGAGAAAACAAAATAAGAAGAGAAGTGAATATTAGAATAAGAGATAAAAGATAAATAGAAAAAGAATAAATAAGAAGAAAGATAAAAGAGAACATACAAAACATAAAGAAATAAAAAGTGATAAAAGAATGATAAAACATAAAGAAAAGAAGAATAAACAATTAACAACAATAATCAAAATATCAATAGAAATCAAAAATCATAATAGAAATGATAATATAAATTAATATAATTATATTTCAACATATTTATTATTAAATGAATATAATAATGATAAATAATAGTATAAATGAAATATAAAGAATAATAAATAAGAAAATAGAAGTGTTTAAATATTTAAATAATAATAAAATATAACTTCAATTTGATTAAAGCATAAATTAAAACATACGAATTAAATAATCAAAATAGAAATAAAACACAAAGATACAAATAAGAAATGATTAATAATGATTAATTAACATAAATTAAAAGAAAATAATAAAAATACAAAATATAAATAATAAATAAATGAAATAAATAATACTTTTATATTTAACATACCATTCATTATAAATTATAATAATCATTTAATGACAAATATTCATTTTCAATATGATTTATAAATTACACACTAATTGTTAGTTAATAAGATGTTATTAGAAATGAAATTAGTTTATTTCAAGATAAAATAAATAAAAATAAATAACAAGAATGTTAAACAAACATAATTAGATACATTTTGATGAGAACCAAAATAAACAAAGAAATAATATATATAAATAAAAATTATAAAAATAAAAATGAATAAAATAAAATATATCAATAAAATATTGTTAAATATTTTGTATCAATAAATTAAACACTTTTTTATTTCATATTTCTAATTTCTATAATAAAAAATACATCCATTATTTCATCATTCTTTTCATCTTTTATTTTCTCATTTTGAATTATTCTTTTTTATCTTCTTTCATTTTATATTCTCAACTTTCTTCTTTTATTCTTTTCATCTTCTTCTACTTCTTATTTTTACTTTTTTCTTTTATATCATTCTTTCTCTTCATTTCTATTCATCTTTTCTCTTATTTCATTTTTTGTTGTCTGGATATTGACATTACATTTAAGAAATAAATAAAAGAGAAAGAGTAATGATAATAGAGATGATGTTCATGTTAATTTAATATAAAGAATAAGAAATAGAATGAAAGAATGATAAATGAAAATAATCAATACATAAAATGATAACATTCATTTAAATTAAACAAATAAAATATCAATTATTATAGATTTGTAATTATTATTGAATGAAATTAATAAATTTATGAATAAAATGAATAAACATAAAGAGAAGAATAGAATGAAGAAGAATTATATGATTAATAATTGGAATAATAATAATTTGATTAATCATTATGAAGAATAGAAGATTAAACAAGAAAATAAAAGAAGAATGAAATAAGAATGAAATAAACAAATTAATGATGATAACATAAATAATATTGATAAACATTGATAAAATAAAGATAAAAAGACAATGAGAAGAATAAAATCAATGTTTTAATGAATAATTTAATGAAAATAAAGAAAATGATGATAGAAATGAATATAAATTAAATGAAATACTAATTGTTATTTCTTCTTATTCTTTTCATTTATTTTAATATGAATAAAGAGATTTGTTATTATTTGAATTGTTATTAATCTTCACTATTTTCTTATTTAACATCTTATCATTCTTTTATCATTATTTCTTCATTAGATTTATTATTTCATTAATTATTTTCTTCTTTTATTCTTTATTTTATTTTATTAAAACTATTACCCATTTTTAAATCATTTATCTTATTTCAATTATCCTTATTTTCTCTCTTGTATTCCTTTTAATTAATTCTCTTTCTTTTTCTGATAATTGTTCTTATTGAACTCATCATTTGTCCATTTCTCATTACATTCTTCTCAATGACTTCAGATAAATACAGATGAAATTGGTTTGAAATAAATCTACAAAGATTCTTGTATAACATCGACACCTCATATCATTGCATTTCAGGTGATCATTTCTTACATACAATAATAGGAGGAATCAATCATTAACCGATCTTTATAAAAATTACACCAATTTCTAATACTCTAGTATTCATCAAATATCTCTAACAAGATATGTCTTTTATCTTCTTCTGGACACTCCTATGTGTTTCTGGAGGGATTTCATTGAACTAACTCTTTCTTGTGACTTACTATGAAATCATTTTGTTCATCAAATCAGATGACTTAAATATGAAATGACAAAGAAAAGTGAGAATGTAGAATATTCATTGTTGACTTTTAACATGTTTCAGATTTATTCAATAATTAAAATCATAATCAAATAGTATTCATTATAGTTATATTATAATATAAAACAATTATAATAAAAACAAAAAATAAAATAACAAAATAATAAGAAGATTCAAAATAATAATAATGTTTTAATGAAAAAGAATAAACATCAATGATATTTCTATTTGATGATATTCATTTGATGTAATTACTATCACATTTGAATCATTGTATGATGGTTTATATCTATTTTATTAAATGATATTTAATTTGTGTGAATTTATCAAATGATTTAAAACAGAAATGAATAATATTGTATTCATTGTATTATAGTGTGTTATTATTATGATTGATGAATAAATGATATTTTATTTGAAAATTCATTTAATCATAAATAATAACAAATAATGGAATGAAGAATTAAATTAAAGAAAGAATAATGATTATAGTTAAATGAGTAAATGATAATAGAAATTATATTAAATTTCAATGAAGAAAAAGAAGAAATTAAAATAATCAAAAAGACAATAAAGAAACATAAGAATATGAAATGATAATTAACATATTTTATTAA